ATGATGAAAACACTCTAGTAACCAGCTTCACTGACAAAGTGGAGTGGAAAAAACCGATCAGATGTGGATTTGGGTGATAATTCGCCCAAAACCACGGCGAATTATCGCCCAAATCCAAGAACGGAATCAGGGTTTCACTTCACGAGTTCCTCTGATTTCCCTGCTTTTTTCATCATTGGAGCACCATGTAGCACCCGCATATCCGTTCTAAGCCCACCCACAATTTACCATACTCACTACCTTCATATTAACCATTCTGTGAATCTATCTAAAGTCAATCACTTACGATTAGTCCAAACGTTTCCAGAAGAATAACCAGCTATGAAGGCATACCTGCCATAGTGCTTGCACAAGTCAAGCACGCATATAAGCGCCTCCATTTATCTGAGTAAAGTCTGAGTTTACTCTGAGTGCGTGGCGCATCTCAGAGTAATCGATAAAACTGAATAATTGCTCGCTCTCGGATCGCACCATTTATTGCGCTTATCTTTGAAATCTGACATAATTTGCTCTATAAGAACCGTTTTTGTATCAGAACAACGAATAAAGCTAACGAGTACTACAAGGCATTCTAACAAACACATGATCACCTAGAAATGTGAAGACTGATAACAAAGTGAAACCTTAACAGCTTTTCAGTATACATGAAATTCAACGATCAATGGGCCCGACGGGGGAGATTGGAAGATAATTTTGTTCAATTTGCTGCTGCCCATTTCTGTAACTCCTCCATCTCGGTGTCCATTCGGCGAAACTTGTCCCGACTGGCTCGTGCTCGGGTGACCGGTCCAGCTGGCACGTCCGGGAGTTCGACTGAGGGCGGCCACGTTCTAAATGAGTTAAATACTTGAGACAAATTCACATAAACCTTTCTTCAATTCTAAGGGGTTAACAATGTCATGTCCATCAAAAATATAATATTTGAGACTTTTCAATGTTAGTGTTTATCAAAATGAACGTCCATCCTTCTGAGCGTATTCTCCACTTTCCTCATTAAAACTGACTGTTTTACTTCACAGACCCATAAGCTCTGCACTTCACGCGATTGATTCTGATCTCGCCTGTGGCTCAGATCGATAGTTGGTCAAGAGATAAATGAAATGATTAGTCTACGAGCAAGGGTTTGTCCCGGTATAAGGACCGAGATACTGAAAGGATTAGAGCTAAGCATATTCTGATTAAGAGTTAAAAGAAGAAGCGGAGTAATTTCTCTTCCCTGAAGGTAATCGAATGAAGAAGCCTGGAGTGGTTGTTTGCTTAGAGAAGATTGAAAGGAATAGCTCAATAAGCACTCAACGACGCTCATTTCCTTAGGGGGGGGGACATTCAAGAACCGCTGGTAGGTGACACTCAGGCCCTACGCCCGAGGAGATTGGGAGGTCCCGTGGAGAACAAGCAATTGCGTAGCATGCTCGTCCAGAATCCCTTTCCTCTCCCTAGTGCCCGTAGCTCGGCTTTCCCCACTTCTGTCGCTCTCTCTAGTGACTGAACGGCCTCTCAGACGTAACTGTTGTCATTCCTCAACTTTATGAACAGGAAAAGGCGTTCGGCGTTGATGAATTCTTTTTTGGGCTGCGCCACGCACTGCTCTTCATTCAGAATCGTAGAGGCGATTTGAAGGCGATTGGGCTTCTACAGCCGCTTGCGGAGGCGAGCCAATGTACAAAGTGATTTCACCCTCCAAGACAAGTCTCACACCATTTAATTGACCCTGCAGTAAAAAGGTTTACCGCGCACGAAATTGAGATTTGATCTCCGGACTGTGTGCGCGGTAAGCAAGGGCACATACCACGACACCACTTCCATCCGAAAAAGACAGTAATGTACATAGATCATAAATGTAGCAGTAGGGATAGGCTGTAGACGGGGATTAACTACAGATCAAACATAAAAACCTAGAAATCTAGACGTAGGACTCCCAATCAGAGAATCCATGTCAGTGAGCTCTCACTTACCTTCTCTAGCTCTTCCAGCTCTTTGAGCAACTCATCCTCGTCGTGGACATCACCGATCGGTTGACTGATCGCGCTGGCAAACTCGTCGGATAGTTGGAGATCTTCAGCTATGCTGTCCATTAGATCTCCGACCTTAAATGGATATTTCATCAGTAAAAAGCTGAGCACCAAGAAAATTACCTCGCCACCGGGGGTATGACACCGTACCTTATCCAAATCAAAGTTTTGGTTGGCTATTTGTAGCGCCTTCGTGGTTTGATCGAGCACTCCCAGTACTTCCATATTAAGACCAGCACCTTCGAGGGCAGTTCGTTGTGCCTCGATCTTCATCATTACCTTAAAAAGACACTCTGAAGAAAGCTTTGAAAAAAAGTAGAAAGAAGTAAGCGTACCCCATCAATTCGTGACAATTCTGTCTCGTAGTGCTTTCTTTCGTTTCAACGCAGCCAGTGCTGCTTTCTTGTTCTTCTGCCCATGTTTCTTAGCGTTTGCTATTTCCTGAAAAAAGGACTTGGAAGGGATTTTCTCCAGATTCCAACTTTCGGGGTTCGAAGGTAGGTACTACACCCACAGCGGAGATCTTGTCCTCATAGAACGTCTGCTTTTTCGCCAAAAGATCCTCGATGTCTCGCAAATTGTTGATTGCCTCTTCAGCGGACGGGGCAGACTGCTTCCGTTTGCGCTTTATGCCATCGATGAGTTTCCCCAAGAACGGCATCTTCTGAAACATTTCCTTATAACAAAGCTATGCATCAAATGAAGCTTAACAAGCGCAACTTCTTGACAAAAATAAGAAGCCAAGCATAAGGGATACATAATAAGTCATTTGGCGTTGATCATCGCTTTTGATCGCGCATTGCACTGACTCTTTGGAACCGCAATGGCATTCTGCATGGATGTTGGCCGCAACAACAATGAAATGCGAGGGCTGGCCATATACAGTGGATAGTTGGGGCTTTGCCTTCTAAACAGACTGGGATTACTTAACCGAGCCCGGTAAGTAAAAGTACGTAAGTAGAAGGCTTGGTTGGCCCTGTACCGCTACTCTAAGATGGGGTCCCGAATCGTGGGTATGGTAAATGGCACAGTTTGGCACTATCGTCCGAACCAATGGAAAAAAAATTCAGGCTCAGTCACGGTTTTACCAAAGGGGAGATGTTCTTCGCTGTTTTAAACGCATTATATTAAAATGCCCCCGCATTGCCCGAATCTTGCGATAGCGCCACATTTGACCTTATAAGAGCATAAAAGGATAAAGCATTTGCCGTTGATCAATCCCTTTTTGGGATGCGGCACGCATTCTACTTCCATTTGTACATTCGTAGTGGCGTTTGAATGCGATGTGGCCTATACAATGACTTGCGGGGGCCAGCCGATGTACAAGTCAGTGTTTTTATCCTCCCAGACAAGTCTGGTACCAATTAACCGACCCCGGAGGGATGGAAGGCTTGGTTGGCCCGGGCGACCCAGGATTTGATCCCCGGACCGCTCGCGTGGTAAGCGTGCCACTTGCCACTACACCACTTCCGCCCCATCCATAACTTCCCAAATAATCGCCTAATTGCTGATAACTAACGTGAGCAAATAAGGCTTTGTGATTTTCTGGGCTTCACTACTCGTACCAAACTCGTTCCGGGAAATCACAAGTAAACTAGGACTGACTTGCGGAATTCGGTTTTCCAAATTCCTCAAAAATTTTGAGGAAGGTCGATTACGTGCCGCAACCCAAGAGTTTCACCCGAACCGATGGGTTTTTTTTCTTTCCAGCCATCTGATATAATTTTGAGTTCTGTTTTCTACTGCACTTGTCTCCTCAGTGTTCCAAGTGTCACATTTCCCGAGTGTATTTGATGTCCATGTAGAAAAATGATCGTGAGGATAAATAACAGGAAATCTAGGTGCTATGAAAAACAAAAGGTATAGAAGGCC